AAGACTGGATCAAACCTCCTTTTTAAACAATGCAAAAGATTAACCCCTTAGGTTCCACAGTGAGTATACCTAGCATGCTTTACTGCATATACAGACTGATTTTACTGTTGTGGGTTTAGTAACACTTTAATTACCGCATGCATTTATTTCCTTTTGTGAATTTACTTTAAGGTCTTTATGTGGTATTTACCAGGCGTTTTTGCTATTTGCGATAAATACTGCACTAGCAATAGTGAATTGACATTTTCAGTATCACATGTGATATTTGGTCACTTGACCAACATAACGCATGTGATAAACCTTTAGTGAATTGTCCCTAAGGTTTGAATACTAAAAATTATATAACACATGCTACATCTCCCACTACTGGGACTTTAGACTATGTAGAGGTAAAGAATAAATAGAATTAAGGGAGGGAAGACATTAAAGACCGGACATATTCTCACCCGATGTTCCTTGCTGTATTATTGTACAAGTTCCATACAACATTTCAATCTAGGTGTCTGGTATACCCCTGATTTTTTAGGACTCTAGCATCAATCCTGGACTTCCCTATGTCTTGTACAATAATGTAGGTCTGTGGATGAATCTATTTCAGGCTGTTAAGTAGGCATTAAAAAAGGAAAGAAAGAAATAATGATGATGCAGAGAAGTGATCTTAGTGCTGACATTTCAGATAGTATTGAGGTAACAGAGAGGCTCTGGGAGCTAGATCTGTTATAGCATAGATTTATTGGCTTGTTTCCAGCTCCTCTTTCCTGCACATATTGTAGAAATATTGGGCTCATCTGTTCAGAACTCCTAATGGGGCTGATTTTGTAATACTACAACTACTATGGTCACCCTCTTCTTCCATCCTAGGCTCCCTCACTCACATCTTCAATCTCTCCCTCTCTAACGGTGCCTTTCCCTCCCCTTTAAAACATGCGCACATCACTCCCATACTTAAAAAGCCCCCCCTGGACCCCACCAACCCGAACAACTTAAGACCTATCTCCCTGCTGCCATTTACCTCTAAACTCCTAGAACTCTTAGCCTACAATTGCCTGAGCTCCCACCTCACCGACAACAACCTGCTTGACCCTTTACAGTCTGGCTTTCGCTCACTACACTCCACTGAAACTGCCCTACTAAAACTCACTAATCTACTAGCAGCTAAAACCAATGGCCACTACTCCGTACTCTTACTACTCGACCTCTCTGCGGCTTTTGATACTGTTGACCTTCCCCTCCTCCTAAAAAAAACTCCACTCTCTTAGCCTCCGAGACTTTGCTCTCTCCTGGTTCTCCTCCTACCTATCGCAGCGCTCCTTCAGCGTTACCTATAATGCTGCCTCCTCCTCTTCACTCCCTCTCTCTGTAGGGGTCCCTCAAGGTTCTGTCCTTGGACCCTTCTCTTCTCCATCTACACCTCCTCCCTTGGTCACTTGATAAACTCCCCATGGCTTTAAGTACCATCTCTATGCTGATGACACACAAATCTATCTTTCTACCCCTTCAGTCTCCTCTCGCATTAGTAACTTACTAAGTGACATATCGGCATGGATGTCACTCCACTTCCTCAAACTCAATCTTTCCAAAACTGAGCTCTTAGTATTCCCCCCAGCCCATGCCCCCTCCCCTGACTTCTCCTTCAAGATCAATAACACAATCATCAGTCCCTCCCCTCATGCCAGGGTACTAAGTGTAATCCTAGACTCCCATCTGTCCTTTCAGCCCCAAATCCAATCACTGTCCAAATCTTGTAGACTTCACCTCTGCAACATCTCCAAGATACGCCCGTTCCTACCCCCCCGGAAACCACTAAGCAACTTATTCACTCCCTGGTTATCTCTCGCCTTGACTATTGTAACTCCCTCCTCATTGGCCTGCCTCATCGCAGGCTATCCCCTCTTCAGTCTATCATGAATGCTGCTGCCAGACTCATCCACCTTACTAACCGTTCTGTATCTGCCACCCCTCTCTGCCAATCCCTCCACTGGCTTCCCAACGGACAAAATTCAAAACATTAACAATAAAGCCATTTATAACTTAGCCCCAAATTACATCACTTATCTTATCTCTAAATATCACCCAAACCGTACTCTTCGCTCCCCGCAGGACCTCCTGCTCTCTAGCTCCCTTGTCTCCTCCCCCCATGCTCGTCTCCAGGACTTCTCCAGAGCTTCTCCCATCCTCTGGAACTCTCTACCCCAATTTATCAGACTATCGCCTACTCTGCTCACTTTTAGGCGATCTCTGAAAACCTATCTCTTCAGGGAAGCCTATCCTGCCCTCAGCTAACAATGGAATTTTCTACTCTTCCAACCAGTCCATACCCCACAGTTACTACCTTCTTGTACTACTAGCCCCTCCCTCCTATATTGTAATCTCCGAGGAGCAGGGCCCTCCTATCTCTCTTGTATTGAATTGTACTGTTGCTGTATTGTCTCCCGTTATATTGTAAAGCGCTGAGCAAACTGTTGGCGCTATATAAATCCTGTATAATAATATAAATGATTAGGCTGGCAGTTTTATGCAGGCCATAGACTAATCGTTTATCAGACGATTTTTCATCCACACGAAAAATCGGCCGATATTCACGCCGTTAGTGGCCAGTCCGTTGGCCATTTTTCACGGATCTTCTCCTTTATTTTTATCGGTCATGCTGGAAAAGCATTAAAAACGCTCCGCAAACACCGGACCAATGCTTGTCAAACGCTATAGGTGCGTTTGGCAAGTGTGGGACAGTCAAGTGTGAACGAGCCCTTAGAAGTATCAGGAGTTCTCAGAACAATCTGACTTCAAGTCAGTTATAAACAGGTGTGCATCTGTGCCAAAGACATACAATGAGACAAATCATGATCGTGTTTTAAGAACACAGGTGTGATCAGTAAAGAAATACACCTATCTTTTATAAAACAAAAATCCTCTTGACTACTCCACCCAAACACTTTATTTCCAGTTTTACTGGTAGATGGCAAGTTGCATCAGTTGTTAGTGTCTTATTTCTTTCAGACTGAGATATCTCCACCAGAATTCACCACCTCATTGGTTTTATTAACCACTCAGGTCATTACAAAATCAAATATAGTATCATTGTTCCCTGCTGGATTCTACATAATGTATGGCATCATCATTATGATTTTGGGGAGGCAGGGAAATAATAAAGTACTATAGACAAATCTCATCACAGGAGTCTCAAAGAAATACACTGCTCAAAAAAATTACATAAAAAATTAACGTGAAGATGCCCCATATTTTGATAGAAATGAAATGATCAACTTACAGAGGACTGATTTCAAAGACACCTTGAAAATAAAAGTGAAAAAAGTATGCAGCAGGCTAGTTCATTTTGCTGAAATTTTATTGCAGCAACTCAAAATGGTACTCAGTAGTTTGGCCCCCATGTGCTTGTATGCGTGCATGACAACGTCAGGGCATGCTCCTAATGAGACGACGGATGATGTCCTGGGGAATTTCCTCCCAGATCTGGACCAGGGCATCACTGAGCTCCTGGATAGTCTGAGGTGTAACCTGGCGGCGTTGGATGGAGCGAAACAGGATATCCCAGAGGTGTTCTATTGGATGTAGGTCAGGCGAACGTGGGGGCCATTCAATGGTGTCAATTCCTTCATCCTCCAGGAACTGCCTGCATACTCTCGACACATGAGGTCAGGCATTGTCGTGCACCAGGAGTAACCCAGGACCCACTGCACCAAGATAAGGTCTGACAATGGGTCCAAGGATTTCATCCCGATACCTAATGGCAGTCAGGGTGCCATTTTCTAGTCTGTAGAGGTCTGTGCATCCCTCCATGGATATGACTCCACAGACCATCACTGACCCACCACCAAAACGGTCATGCTGAATTATTTTACAGGCAGCATAACTCTCTATGGCTTCTCCAGACCCTTTCACGTCTGTCACATGTGCTCAGGGGGATCCTGCTCTTATCTGTGAAAAGCACAGGGTGCCATTGGTGCACCTTCCTATTCTGGTGGTCAGTGGCAAATGCCAATTGAGCTCCATGGTGCTGGGCAGTGAGCACAGGGCCCACTAGAGGACATCAGGCCCTCAGGCCACCCTCATGAAGTCTGTTTCTGATTGTTTGGTCACAGACATTCACACCAGTGGCCTGCTGGAGGTCATTTTGTAGGGCTCTGGCAGAGCTCATCCTGTTCCTCCTTGCACAAAGGAGCAGATACCGGTCTTGCTGATGGGTTAAGGACCTTCTATGGCCCTGTCCAGCTCTCCTAGAGTAACTGCCTGTCTCCTGGAATCTCCTCCATGCTCTTGAGACTGTGCTGGGAGACACAGCAAATCTTCTGGCAATGGCACATATTGATATGCCATCCTGGCGGAGTTGGACTGCCTGTGCAACCTCTTTAAGATCCGGGTATTCCCTCATGCTACCAATAGTGACACTGACCCTAGCCAAATGCAAAAAACTAGTGAAAAACGTTCAGAAGAAATGAGTAGGGAAAAATGTCAGTGGCCTCCATCTGTAAAACCATTCCTGTTTTGGGGGTCGTCTCAATGTTTCCCATCTAGTACACCTGTTGCTAATTTCATTAACACCATAGCAGCTGAAACTGATTAACAACCCCCTCTGCTACTTAACTGACCAGATCAATATCCTAGACGTTTAAACTGACTTGATGCTATACTCTGATTAAAAAGCGTTCCTTTAATTTTTTTTGAGCAGTATATAAAAAGCCAGCCGATGATTCTTTCTACCAGAGCACACGGAAAATCTATAAGGGAACAGAAAGGTGTTCCAAATAGGCTGAGGTACACTATTATAAATGGGCAAATAAAACTGCATGGACCAAGGCATCGTAAAACAGATTTGTTTCTCATGCCACACAAAGATGTTAGATATTCCCCTCTGAAGTATGTATTTCCCTTGAAAAGCACAAAAGGGGAAATGACCATATCAAACCAGGAGAGATATGTGATTTTGAATATTTATAGACCAAAAAAGGTGTATGTGAACATAGTGTACATTGAGTTCTTACCGATTCGGTCTAAGCGGGTCTAGTGCTACACTCTCAAATGCCCGTCTCATCATTGGGTACTCCTCCAGAACCTCATTGAAATTATCCACACTCAGAGAGTACAGTCGACAGTAAGTGTCTGCTCTGACACTTGCAGTTCTTCGTCCTCGTGTCAGCAAACAAATCTCTGGTAGGGTAGAAATAAGATATTAGTTAATGGGATTAACTCCTGCTTATATAATATTTGGATAATATAAATTATTGAAAGCAAAAACTACAAAAAATGTTCGCAATTGCTGTACTAAAAACAAGTCATATTGCCCTGTTATGAATTGAGATTGCAAGATATTACTATTAGAATCATGCACCCTCAGGCAATCTTAAAGGGAACATGCAGTCTTTTAGATTTCTTTTAGATACACATATGAAAATGATCAGGTTAATGCAAATTATTTTTATCAATGTGTCCTACAATTATATAAACACAATGGACAGCAATATCTTTCATTACATATTTTGGCTCTGCTTCCTGCTTTTGTGTTCAAATATGGGTTAAGATTTACAATTCTCTCAATTTAAATATCAGTCTGGTATCTCTCTGTAGCTGAGATCACACAGTATAAGATGAAAGGGATGCTTCTGATTTGAGCATTATTTGTGTTTACTGGGCACTTTAGGATCTCCCTAGAGAGTAAAAACATGGTAGGTTTTCAAACTTTTTGGCAATTTTCCATGTCAGAAGGTGTTAGCCATTCTCTCTGCAGTAGTGAAGAAGGAGGGAAAGTATTCCTGTGCACATTTCGATGTCACATAATAGAAGATCACAAGTACAAGTGCTCCGGTAATGTGATGCAGAACCAAGAGATGTCTCCCTATTATCCATATCAAGAAAATATATGGCTGCCTATGGCTACCTTTAAATTATATTTATACTCGTTTGTTGCAGAGGTATATTAGCTTAGCGGCAGAAGAAACGATCAGAAATAACTCAAAACGTGGCCCAAACACTATACTTGCTATATATATGCTGGTATGCCATAATACCCTGCAAACTGATTCTGTCTCTGTGTTACAATACACCTACCATTCAATTTTTAGACTGATCATTTCTTTGTGAGTGAGCAAACATTCAAAATCAGCAGGGGATCAAATACTTATTTCCTTCACTGTATATTTCATATAAACTAAACAAATGATAATGTGCAAAATATCTTAGCGCATTAAAGGAAACCGTTTTTCCCTTTTATCAATATCGTACCTTAATCAATGATAGGTAATTGCTGACTACGTACTATATTCTGCATTTTGCGTATGGCCCTTTGCCCCTTTTGAAGTCAATAGCAGGCAATAAGTAAGACTATAAAAAGATAGCATCTGTTTGGGTCAGGGAATACACAGGTGGACTTGTATTGGGGTGTGCAGTAAGGTGTGTTATATGAAAGCCTTGCACTAAATTACTAGTGAAAGATCAGTAAAAGTGGGCCCCTTTAATTAACCATATGAAGCCAGCAGCCCTAACCTAGGCCTATTGCAGGTCAGCTGCGGCTCAGCATCCCCATACTAAAGTTGAGCTCTATCTATTGGTATTAGGGTTTTGCATAAAGTGTTCAGCGTGTCCACAAGAAGCAATACACAAAAATTATGATATCAATTCATATGGGTACATTTGATAGACCAGAGACATTTACCTCCAAAGTAAGATCCATCAGCAAGTTTGGTCTCTTTGCTGCCTTTGCTTAAAATACTGACAACACCATGCTGTATAAAGAACATTTTCTTGCCAACAGTTCCCTCTCTGATTAGGTAGTCTCCTGGCTGAAATACCTCAAATTTTAGCTTTGTAAGCATCGATGTCACAAAGTTGGGGTCCGCATTGGCAAATAGTGGCATGGAAGCCACTAGCTTGCGACAGTTGAAGTTGATAATTTCCTGTAGAAGAACATGGAAAGGTCAACTTTACATAGTTCATCTGTGTATTGTATTAGGCAGACTAATTTTATAACGTGCTTTACCAAATAGAACATCAATGATACAACAGGAGTTTTAGGAATCCACCATTTTTATTTTCCATATTTAAATAATGAACATAGAATGGGTAAATTCATTATGATTCAATGATGCCACAGGTACTCCAACATACTTTTGATGACAAGGGTGGAATGGAAACAGTTCTAATTTTCTAGGCACAATGGGCACCTGACTTATGCCCAACCCACTAGTATAGTGTAAGTATTTTTTTTTTTTTTACTTACAATAATATATACTTTCTATTCAAGAGATACAATCCCAAACAATGGCTTACAAAGATGATAAAACCTGAAATGTAATGTTAAATTCAAATTTCCTATCAACCTTTAGTTTTGATGGGTGTTATTCTATATCAATTTGAATACCTCCCTGTGTTGGAAGACACATAATGGGGTAGGGTTTGTGTATATGCACATTCACCTGCAAACTGCTTTTCTAACAATATAAGTCAATGAGAAGGTAAAAGCAGCAAGAAATAGATCAGAAGCAGCTCAAATACTAGCTAAGTGCACCTGAAAGTACCCTGCGTCTGCCCATCTACACAAGCTCTAGGGAAGATTTTGTGACTTTTAAATATGGCAAATGTGCTTATACAATAAGTAAAGGAGCAGACTGACGTAACCTATAGCAGCCAATGGAAATTCAGCTTTACTAGTCTTGCTCCTTATCACTGCTCTTAACTAAAATTGATCTGTTTGTTAGCAAGAAATATTTTAGTACCATATATGACCGCCAGGTGTCTCCCTTCTATCTTTGTGTAAGATGTGGCTGGTAGCTACATTAGTCCTTATGTCCCATAAGCCATTTGTGTTTCATTTGCATGTAACATACGTTTAGAATGATTGCACAGATAAGAAAGCAAAAACAAAATTCAGAAATATCAGAGGTACGTTTGTGATAAAAAACAAAATCGTATATATGCATAGTAAGCCAAAACCTTTTTTTTGTCATAAATATGCATATTCTCTTTGGTGCCTACATAAATAAACGATTTAAGAACAATGTGCACTGTGTGACACGTCTGTTATGCATGCCAGAGACTAATGGTCATGGCTAGAATGTATCCAATAGTGGGAGAGGCTTAAAAGAGGATCGTCAGTTTGAAAGGGACCTAACAGGTGGCACTGTCTATTAAACTTGCCCACTGAGCTCAATGGGACTGCAATGCAGTTACAAGCTAAATGCTTGGCTTGCTGTTCTGACATGGCATTTCAATGCAAAATTCCCATTCTGCTAGAAAACAAACAAACATTCAGGAGGTATCACCGCCTGCACAAACAGTGGCATTAAATACCAGGAATGCAGGATTCAGGAGTGTGCTATGTACAGAGTGCAGAGTTAAGGAATTTTGCTATGGTACAGAGTGCAGGGTTCAGGAGTGTGCTATGTACAGAGTGCAGGGTCCAGGAGTGTGCTATGGCACAGAGTGCAGGGTCCAGGAGTGTGCTATGGCACAGAGTGCAGGGTCCAGGAGTGTGCTATGGCACAGAGTGCAGGGTTCAGGAGTGTGCTATGGCACAGAGTGCAGGGTTCAGGAGTGTGCTATGGCACAGAGTGCAGGGTTCAGGAGTGTGCTATGGCACAGAGTGCAGGGTTCAGGAGTGTGCTATGGCACAGAGTGCAGGGTTCAGGAGTGTGCTATGGCACAGAGTGCAGGGTTCAGGAGTGTGCTATGGCACAGAGTGCAGGGTTTAGGAGTGTGCAGAGTTCGGGAGTGCATTTTGTGCAGAATTCAAGAGTGCTCTACATAAAGTGCAGAGTTCAGGAGCGCACTACATACAGACTGCAGGGTTCAGGAGCGCACTACGTACAGAGTGCAGGGTTCAGGAGCGCACTATGTACAGAGTGCAGGGTTTAGGAGTATGCTATGGTACAGAGTTCAGGAGTGTGCTACGTACAGACTGCAGAGTTCGGGAGTGCATTTTGTGCAGAATTCAAGGGTGCTCTACATAAAGTGCAGAGTTCAGGAGCACACTATGTACAGACTGCAGGGTTCAGGAGCTCACTATGTACAGACTGCAGGGTTCAGGAGCACAATATGTACAGACGCGCACTACATATAGAGTGCAGGGTTCAGGAGTGTACTATGTACAGGGTGCAGCGTTCAGGAGTGCAGATCTCACCAAAAATGACAAATCACCCCTCTCTCCCAGTACAGTACTCTCCTCCCACCCCAAATCCCCCTCCTTGACAGTATGAGATAGAAAACTGCAGTTGCAAAAAAGCAGCTACAGATTACCTCAGGAGGAGCTGCTGCCACCTGACATGTGCCGGGTTCCTATCAATGCAGGGTTACAGAGAAGCAGAGGACAGCTGATATCACTCTGCCTCAAGGTTGCAACTGGAGCTGGAGGAGCAGTATTGGCAAATGTGGCTGCTTGTTCACTCTGCGGCCGCCTGTGGCACCTGCTCCTCTTCTGTTTAAAAAAGGGCCCAACTCACTCCCAGGCTCTTGCCAGTACTCTGCCTGAAAAAAATCCCCGATTTATTATGGACATTTTATGTTTGTAATGGATATTCATGCACAGCTATAAACATTACTGATTGTTACAAACTGTCCTTGAATTTACGGATTGTTGGGAACCCCGATTCCCCTTTTCAAACCCTGTTTTCACAGTGTAGTCATTCTATTCCTGTGACCCTTTGGTGCAAAAATCCTAAAAAGCGTTGACCTGGTCCCAGCATGCAATGAAGTAGCTCAGAGGCCACTAGGGTCACCAGCCCATCACACTTTGTGGGGTACCCTGGTGAAGACTAAGTTGCAATTTGGACTCTGTGACTTGGGTGAGCTTACAGTATGTTACCTGCCAGGGAAATACTCTATAACAGCAACTTTGGGTGATGAAGCAGCCAACCACCAAGCTCCTGAACTGTCACATGGGAGGAAGAAGAATAAGCCACTTGCTCCCCAATCTCATATGTACTGGGTATTTCTCTTCATTTGCAGTGGACAAACAGAGCAGCAAATATAGGGAAGGTGGGTATGTGAAGTTTAAATGGTGGCAGGTGCTCCTGGTTTGCCCTACATGGGAAAAGCACAGGTTTGCTTTAAAGAAAGAATGTCTATTTCTTAGATTTTATTTTTTTTTTGTACTGTAACTTGCATGGTGGAAGTTAATGTATTCACAATGTCCTTTGCATTTATATGTATACACTGATGTCCTCTTGATTAACCCAATTTCTAACTATCAGACTGTACATTTCATCATAAAGAAGACCAACACTATTAATCACCTTGACAGCTTATATTATTATTTCACTAACCCCTGTGCTCTTTCAAAGTTCCAGTTCTCTGACTACATAATAGGGTAATGTGTGTAGGCCAACAAGCATTGGCGCATCACCAAGTCAAAGGACAGAACAATGTTGAGCGTTATGACCTGTATTTTAAAACATGCAAGACATTGGTAAATATGATTTACTTGGTACTAATGTGTTCCTAATTTTATATATAATGTATTGGCCATTAAGACATTTGTCTTACAAGAGTCTGGATCCATATGTTCTATGCCCACTGATCAAAAACTACATTTGTAAATTAAGCAATTGGATTGCCATTAAAGGTAAACCATATTGGTTATATGTTTTCTTCTAAGCTTATACTTTTTAAACTGTTTTAAAATATATCAATCTCTCTCTCTGTATATATACAGTGTATATATACATATATACAGTGGGTAAAATAAGTAAGTCTTGAACACGTCACCATTTTTCTAGGTAAACCTATTTCTAAAGGTGCTATTGAATTTTTCACCACATGTCGGTAAACAACCCATGCAATCCATACATACCAAGAAACCAAAACAAATAAGGTCAGAAATTAAGTTATGTATAATAAAATGAAATGACACAGGGAAAAAGTATTGAACACATGAAGAATGGGAGGTGCAAAAAGGCATGGAGAGTCAAGACACCAGCTGAAATCTATCAGTAAATTGAAAGTAATCCTGCCCCTTGTCAGTGCAAATTAATATCAGCTGGTTCAGTCTCAACTGATGGCCTATAGAAAGGTGTCTCATTACCAAGGTATCACGCAAGAAACATCTCATGATGGATAAAAGCAAAGAGTTCTCTCAAGACCTTCGCATCCTTATTGTTGCAAAACATGCTGATGCCATTGGTTACAGAAGGATTTCAGAAGGATGCAGAAGTGGAAAGAATATAATTTCACCATAAACCGGCCACGGCCAGGTGCTCCTCACAAGGTTTCTGACACAGGAGTGAAAAGAATTATCAAAAGAGTTGTCCAAGAGCCATGGACCACTTGTGGACAGCTTCAGAAAGACCTGGAATTAGCAGGTACAATTGTTTAAAAAAAAAAAAACAATAATTAATGCACTCAACCGCCATGGCCTGTATGCACACTCACCATGCAAGACTCCATTGCTGAAGAAAAGACATGTCGAAGCTCGTTTAAAGCTTGCTGCACAACATTAAGACAAGCCTGTGAAATACTGGGAGAATACAGTCTGGTCAGGTGAGACCAAAATTGAACTCTTTGGATGCCATAATACACACCATGTTTGGAGGTCAAATGGCACTGCACATCACCCCAAAAACACCATACTAACAGTGAAGTTTGGAGGTGGGAACATCATGGTGTGAGGCTGTTTTTCAGCATAAGGTACTGGCAAACTTCATATGGTTGAGGGAAGGATGAATGGAAAAAAGTACCAAGACTTTCTTGATAAAAATCTGCTGCCATCTACCAGGATGATGAAGATGAAACAAGGATGGACATTTCAGCAAGACAATGATCCCAAACATAAAGCCAAGGAAACTCTCAATTGGTTTCAAAGAAAGAAAATAAAGCTGCTAGAATGGTCCAGCCAATCACCTAACTTGAATCCAATAGAACATCTATGGCAAGAACTAAAGATCAGAGTTCATAGAAAAGGCATACGGAACCTTCAAGATTTGAAGACTGTGGAACAATGGGCCAAACTCACACCTGAGCAATGCATGGGACTAGTTTCTCCATACAGGAGGCATCTTGAAGCTGTCATTACTAACAAAGGATTTTGTACAAAGTATTAAATACATTTCAGTTAGCGTGTTCAATACTTTTTCCCTGTGTCATTCCATTTTATTACAACTTAATTTCTGAACTTATTTGTTTTGGTTTCTTTGTATGTATGGATTGCATGGGTTGTTACCAATATGTGGTGAAAATTTCATGTCATTAGCACCTTTTAGTCACCGGTCACACTGTTGCGATTTAAAATCAAACGATTTGTGTGCAATTACACCGTGATTTTAGGTACAATTTCTGAAGACTTTTATTGCTACTTGTGAAGATTTTCAATGATTTCTTGCAAATTGCAGTGTGATTTCCATTATATTCTATGTATGTGAATTCGCAACAAAACTGCCGAAAATGTAATGCAAGAACTACTTTAGAAATCACACTGCAGCAAATCGCACATGTTAAAACACTGACATTTACATTCATTAGATATAATTTCGGGAGCAATTTCAATTCGCAAATCGCACTGGGCACTTAGAAATGTGTTTCCAGAGAAAAATGGTGAGGTGTTCAATACTTATTTTACCAGATATATATATATATATATATATATATATATATATATATATATATATATATATATATATATATATATATATATATACAGTTGTGTTCAAAATAATAGCAGTGTGTTGAAAAAAGTGAATAAAGCTGAAAATCCTTCTAATAGCTTTTATTTCCATACACACAAATGGATTGGGAACACTACACATTCTATTCCAAATCAAAACATGAAGAAAAATATATCAAATTTGTGTTGTTCCTCTAAAAAGAAATTGAAGAAAAGTGAATATTAGACTGTTCAAAAAAAATAGCAGTGTTTGTATTCTTGTTTACAAACTCAAACATTCACTATATAAACTGAAAAATGTTTGAAGATTTTGCTTTCCTTTGAATCACTTAATATTTAGTTGTATAAGCTCTGTTTCTGAGAACTGCTGTACATCTGTGTTGCATGGAGTCAACCAACTTCTGGCACCTGTGAACAGGTATTCCAGCCCAGGATGATTGGACTACATTCCACAGTTCTCTATTTCTTGGTTTTGCCTCAGAAACTGCATTTTTGATGTCACACCACAAGTTTTCTATTGGATTAAGATCCGGGGATTGGGCTGGCCACTCCATAACGTCAATCTTCTTGGTCTGGAACCAAGATGTTGCACGTTTATTGGTGTGTTTGGGGTCGTTGTCTTGTTGGAACACCCATTTCAAGGGCATTTCCTCTTCAGCATAAGGCAGCATGACCTCTTCATGTATTCTGATGTATTCAAACTGATCCATGATCCCTGGTATGCGATAAATAGGCCCAACACCGTAGTATGAGAAACATCCCCATATCATGATGCTTGCGCAACCATGCTTCATTGTCTTCAGTGTACTGTGGCTTGAATTCAGTGTTTGGGGGTCGTCTGACAAACTGTCTCCGGCCACTAGACCCAAAAAGAACAATCTTACTGTCATCAGTCCACAAAATGTTGCGCCATTTCTCTTTAGGCCAGTCAATGTGCTCTTTGGCAAATTGTAACCTCTTCAGCACATGTCTTTTTTTCAACAGTGGGACTTTGCGGGGGCTTTTGCAGACAGCTTGGCTTCACATAGGCGTCTTCTAATTGTAACAGTACTCACAGGTAACTTTAGACCTTCTTTTGATCTTCCTGGAGCTGATTGTTGGCTGAGTCCTTGCCATTTTGGCTATTCTTCTATCCATTCGAATGGTAGTTTTTTGCTTTCTTCCATGTCTTTTAGGTTTTGGTTGCCATTTTAAAGCATTTGCGATCATTTTAGCTGAGCAGCCTATCATTTTCTGCACTTCTTTATATGTTTTCTCCTCTCCAATCAACTTTTTAATGAAGGTACGCTGTTCTTCTGAACAATGTCTGGGACGACCCATTTTCCTCAGAATTTCAGAGAGAAATGCACTGTAACAGCATGTACAACATTTAATAAGGGCAATAATTGCCACCTGTTTTTCAAAGAATGAATGACCTCACTAATAGAACTCCACACTGCTATTATTATGAACATGCCCCTTTCAATTAGTGATTCAATTACGCAGAATCAGCAGCATGCATGTCATGACTGTTGGGTCTGTTGGATTTCTATTACTCTACTACACCTGCTAGTAAATTATTTGCCATGTAGAAATATCATTTCTACCAAAAACAGTGATTGATCAGGTTAGTGACTGCTATTATTTTGAACACAACTGTATATAGATATATATATATATATATATATATATATATATCTATATATATATATATATATATACACACAACAACAATTTTTTACAAATAAACATTTACTACATGACAAAGGATTTCATAAACAGCATGACTTTCAGAGTTTGCTTAACTCTAACTTTAGACTGGGCCACCCATTACGGCATGAGTCACTGGGATAAATTATTGAGCTTGTCTGAAAGTGTCATCAAAACAAACAGTATTTAAAGGATAAGTTCACCATAGGGAACATGTTACATGTTCCACCCGTTTTTAGGCGTTCTCACTGCTGCATCCACTAGTATGAATGAACTACAAGTACTGACATCCTTTGCTGCTGTTGGCTTGTAGTTCTCGATAAACTACCTGCAAAAAAAGTGCTTTTTTTAAAAGTGAACTTCTCCTTTAAAGCCGAACTTCAGCCAAAACCTTTTATATAATTTTTGCATAGTGAAGGGTTAGAGCCTTTGTCATGGTTTTACTGCCATCTGAGGGAGATTACATATCAGAAAGAGATGTAAAGTCTTTGCACATAGCCAAACACAAGCTAAAGGCCTCATGCACATTTGGGTGTTTGCACAGCTCTTCTGAACTTGTTTTCTTCTGGCACGAGGAAAGCAATGCTAAAAAACAAACCTACAGCCGTGTTTTGTGGTAATATATATTAATTTATTCTGGCCATTAAATGAATGAACGCTCAAGCTCTAAAGACTCCTAGCTTGCAGGCTCTGTGTTTTTTTGCTGGAACACTTGTCTTCTGAATGCACAAGTGGTGTTTTGTTTTCTGCCTCTAAACGCCTATAAAGTGTGCAAGGACACACAAGCTAATATGGGGGGGGGGGGGGGGGCATTTAGAGGCAAGAAAAAAAATGTCAGATGCCCAGTCTGCATGAGGCCAAAGCAAAAAAAAACAAGAATTGTAATTTTTGACATTGTTTTTACTGTTCTCTCTGCCTTTCTTTCCTGGTTGTGCCCACACCTTTTATTTATTGTACAGGTTATCTGCAGGCAGGTGGTACATTTTGGTAATTTTTTTTCAGTGTGGTCACAGACAGAAATACAGACCTGGCAGAGGTTTGACTCATACTCTCTTAAATAAAAAAAAAATACAAACACCATAAACATAGTTTTGGTCAGCGGTGGGCTTTGACCAGGGTCGCCAACTGTTCATATTTTTTATGAAAGGTTTGTAGAAAAGAACTAAAAACTATTTCTCATGTCTGTAAAGGCCAATGAATGGGAGAACCTGTCTGTGAAAATATGGTGGTTGGCTGCAGCTGTCACTTCAGGCTGTCAATTTGTGCCCCTTTCTGATACACTCTCCTGCACAGTACAGTTCCCTGCAGGAATAAGGTGGAGGAGGCTGAATCTGTTCCATCTCCTTCCCTACTACTCCTGCTGTGTCTACCCAGCACCACCCCTTGTGTATTATTTGCAAAATGAAACTTCACCACATTCACAAAGCTCCAGGCTAATACCCTGTGCAAAGTGCAACTTCCTTTGCAAAGTAAACAGCCTTTTTGCCTTTGGCAAATCAGCCCCATGTGTTTTCCTATAATAAAAATTGCTTTTGTGAAATGTTACTGGATTTCTTTGTAATGATTTTCTTTAATGGCATTTATAACTGTATTACTTTAATAAGTGCACTACTAGAAAACAGTCAGTAATTGTGAATAATAAATATTCATGTGGAGCACATCCCCAGTTTAACATAACCACATAAAGTATTGTGTATTTTTTCCACCCGTATGTCTTTATATCCATCTTTAATTTTTTTTGTTAAACAACAATGCCTTGAAGACATACTGAGCAGTAAATGTCTGAACAAGTATTACAATCTTACCTCCCGTAGAGGCTCACTCAACTCCCCAAGGATACTCTCCTCATCAAACATCTTTCCTTGATAGCGGTGCTCATAATAATCATGGATCCTCTGACGCATATCAGCTGGTAACTTGTGAAATGACATGTACTGTTCCACCTGTTTGTACTGTACACAGAAGGAAAACAAAAAGTATATGAGCTTTAGGATTCAAAAGGCCCCTCTGACACCAAAACTCTGAGTTTGTCAATGAGCTTTCAAAGCATGTAAAGACACAATCACAGCATGCAGCCCAGATTCCAATTAGTCGCTCATATTTATTTTAGGTAGCTGCTGATGAAAGCTAGAACAGAATGCCAGGTTTACAAATGTGTTAAAGTGAAGCTTTTATATGCATAGACAGTTTCAAAGATTTAATCCATTCAGTGCCATTAAAAGGGGAAGGTTTATGGGCTTTATTTAACAGCACAGGACTATAATGTGCAGCCATTGGCAACAAAGGTACACAGCAACCAATCAGGGATCAGATGTGTAACCATTTAAAGATAAGCAATCTAGTGCTGTAAGAATAATGATGTATCATTTCTTATTGGTTGGTAACTAATCAATATGCCATCTTGAGCAGAACCCAGCTCCATTTCTGACTATGTTGTAGGGTTTCCTTTCCTCTGGTTGTATTCTACATGATATAAAAAAAATCACCAGGAAGAGAAGGAACATTTTTAATACTCTACAGACCTGGAATTTAAAGTACAGATATCCAGGGCTGCAGTTAGAAATCACAGCCTACCTGCCAGGCTTCCCCACGCCGAAAATATCAAATAATATGTTTGCTAAAATGCCACAGCTGAAATATTATGCTTTTCAGCCATGGCAGAAATTATATTACCATTCCTTTTCAACAAGACCCATTCAAGTGATTGGCACTGCTCTGCAATCCTTTTTTTTTTCTTTTAATTATGTTTTAGAATTTTACCTTTTTTTTACATTTTTTGTAGAATTGTATCTTTTTCTTTATTTTTTTACATTTTTAACTGCCCTGTTGAGGGCCTCTGGTGAAATATCAGGGGTCTAAACAGACCCCTAATGTCTTAATTTTGAAACGGAGAAAGGGACTAAGCACATATATTTATCAGTCCCTTTCTCTGCAGCCTCAGCTGCACTGGACAGTGAATGAATGGGAAGCCCTTTGTGTTCACTGTGCTTTAGTTTGTGAATGAACAGGATGTCTCAGTCTACTTTGCTTCAGTAATGAATGGACACAGGAGTGATTAGTGCCAATCAGTCACTGTTCAGGCAGGAAAGGGAAGGGTCGGTAATTATAACATATTTACTTACCCTTTCCCCTGCTCTCCATCCTGAAACATCCCCATCTGTGCCTGCAGCAGCGCCGGGGGGAAAGAAAAGGAGGGAAGCTGCCTCACTGCAGAGGAGAGGGGCACACAGGGAACTCACACAACATGGGGCTAGGGGTGCAAATACCAATCCCCCTGCAGCACAGAAGGAAGGAGGGGGAGGCACAAGGGGGATCAGTCTCTTCAATAAGATAGTACAGCTGGCCCTCCTGCTCAGCAGGGGCCTGGGCCCCCCTTTTGAACTGATGGGTACAAGAGGTTGGCTGCACTGTTTTATCAGCACCCCTGCAGACATTTTATAACTAGAGTCTCCAAGACATATAAACCTCCTAAATGTTTACATTTCCCAGCATCTACCAACATTTTCTGGGTGAATCAACAAGTAATGTTGGTTTGCCAGCCCTGAAGAACGAATACATATTTAAAACAACGAATCGACAGTTTAAACACTTACTGTATATAGGAGGCAGTTTTACTTCCCAAAAGGTTAGAGTTTCTATCCAGCAGTCCTGAGATTTACACAGCTCTGCCACACATCACAATTACAGTGAGGAACAGAAGTATTTGAACACCCTGCGATTTTGCAAGTTCTCCCACTTAGAAATCATGGAGGGGTCTGAAATTCACATTGTAGGTGCATTCCCACTCTGAGAGACAGAATTTTAAAAACAATTCAGGAAATCAAATTGTATGATTTTTAAAGAATTTGTCTTGCACTGCTGAACATAAGTATTTGAACACCTGAGAAAATCAGTGTTAATATTTAGTACAGAAGCCTTTGTTTGCAATTACAGAGGTCAACCGTTCCCTGTAGTTCTTGACCAGGTTTGCACACACTGCAACAGGGATTTTGGCCCACTCCTCCACACAGATCTCCTCTAGATCTGTCAGGCTGTATTGCATTTAGGTCTGGAGACTGGCTAGGCCACTCCAGAACCTTGATATGCTTCTTACGGAGCCATTCCTTGGTTATCCTGGCTGTGTACTTTGGGTCGTTGTCATGTTGGAAGACCCAGCCACGACCCATCTTCAATGCTCTGACTGAAGGAAGGAGGTTGTTGCTCAAAATCTCACAATAAATGGCCCCATTCATCCTCTCCTTAATACAGTGCAGTCGTCCTGTCCCCTTCGCAGAAAGGCACCCCCAAAGCATGATGTTACCACCCCCATGCTTCACAGTAGGGATGGTGTTCTTGGGCTGCAACTCATCCTTTCTCCTCCAAACACAACGAGTGAAGTTTATGACTTTCTCCCATGCCTCCTCTAGATCATCCAGATGGTCATTGGCAAACTTCAGATGGGCCTGGACATGTGATGACTTGAGCAGGGGAACCTTCCGTGCAATGCATGATTTGTAACCATGACGGCGTAGTGTTCTACCGACAGTGACCTTTGAAACTGTGGTCCCAGCTCTCTTCATGTCATTGACCAGATCCTCCCTTGTAGTTCTGGGCTGATTCCTCATCTATCATCAGTGATACCCCACGAGGTGAGATCTTGCATGAAGCCCCAGTCCGAAGGAGACTGACAGTCGTCTTTAGCCTCTTCCATTTTCTAACAGTTGCTCCAACAGTTGATCTATTTTCACCAAGCTGCTTGGCAATTGCCCCGTAGCCCTTTCCAGCCTTGTGGAGGTCCACAATTTTGTCTCTGGTGTCTTTTGACAGCTCTTTGGTCTTGCCCATGGTAGTAGTTGACATCTGACTGACTGTGGGGTGGACAGGTGTCTTTAAAGAGCTCAGACAGGTGCTACTAAGTTAGATTAATGAGTGGAGTAGAGGTGGACTTTTTAAGGCACAGTAACAGGTCTTTGAGAGCCGGAATTCTTGCTGTTTCTTAGGTGTTCAAATACTTATGTTCAGCAGTGTAAGACAAATAAATTCTTTAAAAATCATACAATGTGATTTCCTGAACTTTTTTTAAAATTCTGTCTCTGAGTGGGAATGCACCTACAATGTGAATTTCAGACCCCTCCATGATTTCTAAGTGGGAGAACTAGCAAAATCGCAGGGTGTTCAAATACTTCTGTTCCTCACTGTATGTCTGGCAGAACAGAAACATCATTTTGCTCTGCTGGAATGTGGTAACACTTACAAGTCTCGTACCCCAAACTTCCCCATACCCCCCACAACCAGTGACTGAACAGTGTAAAGATAAGCAGTACAACGATAAGCTCAACTCTTTGTCACTCTGCTCTCAGTCCCGTCCTATTATATCAGCATGTTCATTGTTAGCACATGAGCATTACATTACAACTGAGTGGCTGATTGTCCTGTTTCTACCTCTCCTAGCCTGGGAGTTCTGATTTACAGGGATTACAAGAGGCAGGTACCAGGTCAAATTCAGGTACTTACACTGCTTGCATTAAAAAAAAAAAAAAAAATACATGTAATGGAGGTGTTACTGAATAAAGAGGTGCATTGATTTGCTACATCCAGGCAAATCAAATTATTTAGAGCCAGTTCACAACTGTCTATTTTACTGCATGAAAAATGTAGAAATCCCATTCATTCTTAGGTGACCTATTCTGATCTATGTGCTTCAGTTTAGTATGCCCTTAAAACACATGGCATGCTTGCAGCTCCTACTTGATTTTGAACAGTGGCTTTTAGGTATTAAGGTCAGATGTACTCAGGTTGCAGCCCATATACATATTTATGATCTGTTATTTCTAAGGGTACTGCCAAGTTCCTAATATCGCTACACACAACACTTTTGGTTTAAAGCATAAGTTCACCTTTAAAAAAATAAATAAATAAATGCACATCTTTTTGCAGGTAAAAAAATGTGCATTTAATATATATATTTTTTTTATTAGGAGCCTGTAAAGCCAGGGGCTGCTCAGTAACATGTTACACCCTAAATATGGTTATACAAGGTAACTTGCTATCTAAAGGTGAATTTATCCTTTACATTTTCATAGTTTTTCAACTGGTTATACTCTTAATTATATGGACTTTGCTATATTATTTTGCACTTATTCCTATGGATATATTGTGGTTAGGTCTCTCATTTCATTTGTCTTCATCAATTTGATAACTTGCCAATTGTCTCTGTAATACATTCCTTCTTTTTGCTATATTGCAGAGACCTTGTCTTACACAGTCCTTTGAATATGTACAGCATAGGTGCATGTTTTTGTCAGCATTGATGTTGTCACTTTATGTCCATTTCAATACTAATAAAAACTCTTTTTGGATTAAAAAAAATATATGACATACAGCATTTTTGTGCATTTATGCACATTAAGTAGGCCCATTCAAATTATTGATAAATGTTTCATACTGTTTTGTGAGTTTTTCATGTGTCAGCACCAAGGCCAATAAATGTTCTGAATAATTCTCCTCCACTTTGTATACTGAATGATCAAAAAAAGGCTCAAGTAAAATGTACCATGCAAATTTATACCATACTGTATAAATGTAAGGGTAAAAGGGCCTTTGGGGTTAGGAGATACTCTCCTCCACCCCAGAAGGTGCTCGCCATTACTCTAACCCTACAATAGCTTGCCTATCTTAAAGCCAAGCTTAGGTACATACCCAAACTGGATTTAATTAAAGGAACACTTTGAAAACACATCAGATCTCAATGAGGAAAAATATCATACTGGATATCTATACTAATATAGACTGGGTAATGTCTTAGGAACATAAGGATGCCCCATTGTTTGATGGAAATTAAAACTATCAACCTACAGAGTACTGTATGCAAAGACACCCCGAAAATCAAAGTGAAAAAAAATTATGCAGCAGGCTAGTCCATTTTGCCAAAAATTCAATGCAGCAACTCAAAATGGTACTCCGTAGTTTGTAT